AAAAGTTACTTACACAATAGTATAAAATAAAGTACGAACAAGGTAGACAATAGTTTGAAATGATGTGGTAAATTAAGGAGACAATATGAGTTTAATTTAGGGAGATTAAAGAGGAATATATAATTTTATATATAGAGAGAGTAACTTTTGTTGTAGGAATAAAGCGAAACAGTTATAATAACTGTTTCAAATAACTGGACAATAAGTGTTCTTTCAATTTTTTCTTAAAGGAAGACRGATTTTGACATTTAAGATGTACTGGTAGTTCACTCCAGAGATCACAAGCCATAAAGGATATAGTTTGTTTGCCTACAAGTTGTTCTCGCTTTTCCTTTATAAAAATTTTGTTCGCTGGCACATCTTGTATTATATCTATGAACATTGTTGGCGTATTCAAACATGTGATTAAATATGTTAGGTAAAGCCCCACAATGCCATAGATGCGTAAATTGGAAAATATGCAGGCGATATATATTGTCAACATTTAAGATATTTAGAATATTTAGCAAAGGTTTTGCACTATCTGTTTCTTTTCCATAGGAATTAGCAAAGAAAATCAATCTGATAACATGAATTTGTTTAGTCTGAGTTTTTTTAAGATGCGTTTTATAAGTGCTACCCCATGCTATTATTGCGTATGAGAGGTAGGGATAAATCAAATTGTAGTATAATTGCCTTAGCTGTTTTAAGGATAGGTAGTGCCTTAACTTGGAAATTATGCCAGTGTTACGAGATAACCTAGAGCATATAAACGCTATATGACATTTCCAATTCAGGGCATCATCTATCATAACACCTAAGTATTTAATTTGACTTTTCCTTTCCAATGGGTGTAAAGAGTTGCCGTTTTTGATTTTAAAATTGATAACACCATCCCTTTTTTGCGGAGATTTGACTATCATGAAATTGGTTTTAGTCATATTTATGGATAATTTATTTGTGTCACACCAGTCCTTGACTAACTCAGTGTTCATGATACTTTCTAGAGTTTTAATATTTTTCTCAGAAGCAAAAACATTTGTATCGTCCGCAAATATTTTGAAATTCAACTTTTTAGAGCCGTTTGGTAGATCATTGATATAGATGAGAAACAACAGGGGTCCTAAAGTACTTCCCTGGGGAATACCGCAGGTAATTGTTTCTTTGTCGGATTCGATACCGTCTATTGTTACATATTGTTTTCTGTTTGAGAGATAGCTATGGAACCAAGTTCCCCGAATTCCATAAGCTTGCAGTTTGTCAATGAGAATTTGATGATTTACGGTGTCGAAAAGTCTAGAAATACGCCACAAGTATATAAACTGTTATCAATAGCTTTGCGCAAATTTTCTGTGATTTCRGMAATAGCTTGAGCAGTAGAGTGCCCTTTACGGAACCCAAATTGAARTTCAAACAGTATATTATGTTTGTCGATATAGTTAGCAAGTTGTTTGTAGATTATCTTTTCAAATATTTGCGAAAAGGTAGAGAGAGTTGATACTGGACGATAATTAACTGGATTAATGGGGTCGCCGCCTTTGTCTACAGGAGTATCTTTAGATACTTTAAGAATGTCAGGAACAATACCTTGTATAATTGACTGGTTAAAGATTGTAGATAGTGGCTCAGCTATGCATTCACCAACAAGTTTGATACATTTTGGTGGGATTCCTATTGAAGATTTATTCAATTTAATAGATCGAATTTCATCGTATACTTCATGAGGAGTAATTCCGCGAAACATGAATGAGTTTAGRAAAGGCTGGTTTATATAAGTAAGAGGGCTAAGATTCGTTTGTGGTAATTTTTGCGCCAGATCTTGTCCTACGTTAATGAAATTAAGAAGACGAAGTGTAAATTCATGCTAGCTGAAGTTGAGTACCTAGAATACAAGATCAGCAAGGATGAAGTCAAACCAACGGAGTCCAARGCCGAGGCAATCAAGGAAGCACCAGCTCCGAGTAATGTGTCTGAGTTGCGCACCTTCATTGGGTTGGTTAACTATTAYTCAARGTTTCTYCCAAACCTGGCCCACCACATGGCGCCATTATACCTACTTCTTAAGAAGGATCAACCATGGACTTGGGGTCAAAGGCAGCAAATCAAGATGATGACTGACGATGTCACGTTAGCGCACTACGACCCTGATGTCGAGCTAGTACTTTCGTGTGATGCATCCGCATCTGGCATTGGGGCAGTCCTGCACCAACCTGATCTAAATGGTGAGTTGAAACCAGTTCATTTTGCTTCTCGCAGTCTCACGGGTGCTGAGAAGAACTACGCCCAAATCGAGCGTGAGGGTCTAGTAATCATATACGGAGTGCAGAAATTTCGTCAATATCTGCTGGGCCGTACCTTTACATTGTTGACAGACCATCAGCCGTTGGTGAAACTTTTCGGCGAACATGCTGCTGTGCCACAGCTTGCTGCTGCCAGAATTAAACGCTGGGCATTGATATTATCTGCATATAGTTACAAGGTAAAGTACATTTCTTCAAAAGAGAATGTATGTGCTGACTATTTGTGTCGAGCTCTTTTACAGGAATCTACGAGTGTAGCTGAATTACCAGAGGAAGAAAACGTGCTTGTGATTGATGAACAATCGTTAAAGCAGCTGCCTCTTACCGCGAAGACAGTGGCACTGGAGACTCAGAAAGATTCCAGTTTGTCAAGAGTTCTGCAACTTACAAGAGAAGGTTGGCCAAGTAAATGTCATGACAATCTACGACCTTATTCCTTGCGTAAGACAGAGTTAACAGTTGAACAAGGGTGTGTCTTGCGGGGGAGTAGAGTCATTATTCCTGCTTCACTTAGACCAACACTCTTGGTTGATCTGCATACGGAGCATACGGGTACAGTTAGAATGAAAGGTCTCGCAAGGCAGTATTTTTGGTGGCCTAATATGAATGATAACATTGAACAGATAACTAAGCATTGTGTAGAGTGTCAGGAGAATACTTCCTTGCCTCCCAGTCCTCCCGTACTTAAGTGGAACTGGCCTTCCGGACCGTGGAAACGACTTCATGTTGGCTACGCCGGTCCTTATATGGGTAGTATGTTCCTTGTTGTGATAGAAAGCTACTCTAAATGGTTAGAGGTGTTGCCAGTAAAATCTACTAATTCTAAAGCTACCATGTCTCACTTAGAGAAATTATTTACTAACTTTGGTCTCCCCGAGCATATCATTTCAGATAATGGCCCTCAGTTCGCCAGTAACGAGTTTGGAGACTTCTTGAAGAAGCATGGCATCCGACATACGCTTACACCTCCTGCGTCCAATGGCATGGCACAACGTTATGTCAGGTACTTCAAATCTGCTTTGTGTAAGATGGAGAAAGCAGAAGGTTCTTTACAAGAGAAGTTGAATCGTATCCTCTTTACGTATAGATGTACGCCACATCCTGCCACTGCTGAATGTCCTGCATATCTGCTTATGCACAAACAATTGAGAACGAAATTCTCAAGTCTTGTACCTTCCCTTTCAAGCCACAAGGAGGCTGATATATTTGAACAGAATACTAATTGCTTGCCCAGATTCTCTGTAGGTGATAAGGTCTACGTACTGAACCGCCGTGCAGGTCCTCATTACACCCGGAATTGTGATTGAGGTTTTGCAATGGTCATACTTCGTGCATGTTGAAGGATATGCAGTTTGGAAAAGGCACGAGCATCAACTTCGACCAAGGTCTCTTTAATGTAAGTCTGATGAAGATAGTACCATTTTGCAGCCAATAACTGTTCCTGACTACCTACCAGTACCAGCTCTCGAGGTACCACCGCTTCCACAGGAACCAATTGGAAGTCCTCAGAAGGAACCGATACCTACACTGCCACAAACACCCACTGGAACTCCTCAGAAGGGACAAAAGCAGCCACTGGTTCAACACGAACCACCACCGGTCATACCCCGCAATGGAAGTCCTAAAAAGGCAGATGATGCAACAGCAACCGAACAACCTTTACAGCCAAGAAGAAACCCTGTTAGAGAGCGTAAGCCTCCAAGTAGATTTGGTTTTGATTATTGAACTGATAAACACTTAGATATGTTGTAGTTCAGGTTCAATATGATTTTCAACCAGTTCGATTTCTTCTGAACTGGTTCAGTTTATTTTGAGCCAGTCCAATATAACTCAATTCAGTACAAATCAGTTTAGGGTTAGATTTAGGTTTAGGGTTAGGTTTAGGGTTAGGTTTAGGGTTTGGAATAGGGTTGACCCAGCATTATATAAACATTTTCTTCATAAATAAATTACACTTAAGATAAAAACAATTTGCAAACATTACTACCAACAAAATCCTTGATGGTATAATTGGGAGTACTGTGGACTATGAAGCAAGAGGAAAATTGAGACAGTCACCGAGTCGGTTGACAGTAAATTGTTGGAAGAAAATGTGAGCAATGTGAGACCAATTAAAATGACAAGATTAAGAGCTATTTATGGTGAACCAGCAGTAGCATCGGTGAGTACGCATGAATCTGACAGTAAGGTGTGTTTTTTTAATGGGACTGGAGGAAAATGCATAGAGTCTCGACGTTTGATTTGGACAACAAAGTTAAAACTTCTGCTATGAAGACTTAAAATTGGACACTACTTGGAAAACTTGCATTTGATGACATGCATGCGATGGACGTCATTGTATAATTCTGTAAGGAACAGATCAGAGAGTAGTATTATTAAAGATGAATGGGAAGAGGTAAACCTTGAAGCATTTGCAGAGCTAACAATGTATATTGAGGAAAGTCTATGTGAAGGAACAACTGTGTTTTGTTGTCTGATCTGGTAAAGCTATACACAACCCGATTAGAGCAGCTGTCAGGTATGAAGATCCAAGTAGAATTAACTCTACCAGACTGAAAGAAAAGCTGTTATTATAAATGGCAGACATGTATGCTCATACAGATGGAGGTTTGTCTAACGTGTCAGGATAGGAATATAGGAATTTAGGAATATATTTGAAGAAGCTTTAAGAGTAATGAATAAGATTGGGGATGGCATCTCTCTAGTTCTGACAAGTGAATTCCAACATGGACAACTCTTCCAGAGGCGTCCAAGATCTGCAAAGAGCTTATTAGATGTGGATGTAAGCAAGCCTGCCGTGGTCTGTGAAAATGCACCAAAGCAGACCTACCAGGTTCCCGTTTTGTGTCAATGTGCAGGGAGTTGCTACTATATAACATATTCATTTTATGCGCATACCGTTTTTTTGTTTATATTTAAACTCGATTATATATGTAACATTTAAATGGTTCAACAGTCTATTCAATTAATTATAAGTGGCTTAATGCCTTCATTACACAATTGTGAACTTCAGTAATTTAAATATAAGGTCATTTCGTAATAATGGACACACACAGAATTGGAGAGCCTATGGGTGGACGTGGAGGTGGAATTGTCGTAGTATTTGACAAGGGAGACAAACACCGTAATGTGTGTGAAAGGATTTGCAAGCGACTGAGATGGTCCAAGGTTGATACCGAGTCACCTCTTTCTCTAGCCCTGCTGAAAAAGGAAACAGAAAGGTTTGTATATAGTATATGGTGCATACACGTGCAGATTACATCATTAAGTTTGGTTCTAGTCAATGACTTCTGTGTATAGCCGTGATCATTTAATTTTCATTTCCCATTTTTTCGCTGTTTCAGTGAAAGCGATAGAGAAGGTAAAGCGAGCCCTGTCAAGAAGACACGCGTAGATCTGACTACCATCAGTGATCGTGAGTAAGTTTGGTTTTAGTCAATGACTTGCGTGTGTAGTCATGTTCATTTTTCATTTCCCATTTTTTCGCTGTTGCAGTGAAAGCGATAGAGAAGGTAAAGCAAGCACTATTATGGTGGCCCATTGACGCCATAGTGGTTTTTGCACTTTTTGTGTAACTTTTTTAATTTTTTTTGTTTCATTTGATTTATTTTTTTTTTCTATGTTAATTTAATTAATTTTTTTATGATTTTATTTTATTTTCATTTTATTTGTTTGTTTTTTTTTATTTTATTTTGTTTTAAATTATTTGTATTTATTTCAGTTTTATACTTTTTTACTTCACTTTGTTTTTTTATACTCTCTATTTATTATTTTTCAATCATTGTTTTAGTTTGTTTTATTTCATTTTGTTTCAATTCATTTCATTTCAAATGAAATAAAAATGAAAAAAATACGACAGCCCAGCGACGCCATAGACCATGATTCTTTTCGGGCATCAATCACCGGTAAACATGGCGTCTAAAAATCCAGCATGGCATCGGTATGGTCAAAAAATGAAAGAAAAACGAACCAAGAAAGAAATAAAAGACAAACCAACGCAAAGAAAATTTCCTGGGAATTACCTAAAAGTCCAAAGACTTTCAGCAGAGGTTGTGGGGAAAGCTCAAAAATACTCTAGAATCGGCAATCTCGAATTNAAATTAATTAAATTAACATAGAAAAAAAAATAAATCAAATGAAAATTCAAAAAAATTAAAAAAGTTACACAAAAAGTGCAAAAACCACTATGGCGTCAATGGGCCACCATACACTATCAAGAAGACACGCGTAGATTTGACTACCGTCAGTGATCATGAGTAAGTTTGGTTTTAGTCAATGACTTGCGTGTGTAGCCATCTTCATTGTTCATTTCCCATTTTTTTCGCTGTTGCAGTGAAAGCGATAGAGAAGGTAAAGCGAGCCCTGTCAAGAAGACACGCGTGGATCTGACTACCGTCAGTGATCATGATTAAGTTTGGTTTTAGTCAATGACTTGCGTGTGTAGCCATGTTCATTTTTCATTTCCCATTTTTTCGCTCTTGCAGTGATAGCGATAGAGAAGGTACACCAAGCTCGGTCAAGAAGACACGCATAGATCTAACTGCCAAAAGTGATAGTGGGTAAGATATCTTAGTAAACAAATGGCGTATTTGTTGTTATTTTCATTTTCATTTTAATCCAAAATTTCAATTACAATTTTTCACTGTTATAGTGATAGCGAGGGGCACAGTGAAGTGAGCTCCATCGAGAAGTCAAGAGTGTGCCTTACTGCTGGCAGTGATAGTGACAATGATAGCAGGGAAGAAGGTGCGGTTTTATTCAAGGAATCTGAAATCATATTTCAAATTTGCTATATGGATAAAAACAGATGAGAGTGACCATGAAACTAAGCCAACAAAGCACAGATCTTACTGAGGGAATGGCTACAAAAGAAGTGGTTGGCATACTATTGCAAAGTGGAAAGGGTAGTCAAGTTTGCTCTGTCGTACCCACAAACGTTMGCCACAATACTGTGTTTGTGGTCGATTCTTGGAAGCTTGGGGATATAGGAGACGTAAAGTGTGATGATATGGGTTCCTGGCGGAATAACGGTAGAAAGCATTACAAACCTGGATCACTTGACGATAAATATTGCGTATACAGGCAGTTTTATGTTAATAACAGCTTGCCATCATTGAAAAAGGCCATCGTTTTCATGAAGAAAGAAAAGGAAACCTTTGGTCCAATATATGTTTACTGAAGTGGAGACATCAGTGATCGTAAAACCACACTGCAAGACTAAGACCAACAAACCTTACAAAAGGACAATGCCCAGCACAACCTCAATGATCAAAAGTAGTAAAGCCAAGCCTCGTGAAATTCAGCATTCCATTATAGATGCGAGAGGGGGGATTGAGAATGTAAGAAGTTCTGGAGAGTACCCTAGAGATCGTTGCCAGATTTACAGTGCCCGAAGGTCAAAAGAAGATTTGCCATCGAAAGTTGGAATAGCAAGTGATCCGCTCTTACAACTCGTACAAATATCAAAAGAGCAGCAGCAAGGAGAAAAGGGTGAATGGTTTGTTCGAGACATCGATCTCTCCAATGAAGAAACTATATTTCTAGCCAATGATCAGCAGCTTTTTGACGTGGAAAGATTTTGCACTAACCGGTCTGGATTTTCTGTTTTTGCTGTTGATGCTACATTCAATGTTGCCAACAGATACTTCTCCTTTGGAACATATCGAAACATGATATTGGAAACCGAAATCTGGCGTTAACCCTGTTTGTATTGGCCCTGGGATCCTACATAAAAAGAAAGAAAAATCATCTTACTATAGTCTGTCGTCGTTAATGGTGAAGTACAGACCTGAAACACAAGGGGTGTTGGTGTATGGCTCGGACGGTGAAGACAATTTGTCTAGTGCAATGGCTCGCGTTTTTGGCGCAGAGGCTAAGCACCTTAGATGTAACATCCATCTTAGAGATAACATCAAGTCAGCACTAGCAAAACTGCATATCAAAGGAGCAGCTGCCAGGCAAATAGAGAGATATATTTTTGGATATGATTTGGGAGGAAATGAAAGGGAAGGCGGACTTGTTGACTGCACTTAAGACGTTGAATTTGAGACTTTCCTCAACAAGATTAAACAAGAATGGACAAAACTAGATCCTGGCGCTTCCAACTTCTTTGATAACTTTACTGAGAGGTATGCGACGGTCATCAAAGAATCCCTGAGAGCGGATTTACGTTCAATGTGTGGTCTGGGATTCCCACCAGCATCATACACACAGAATCCTTGTGAATGCCTCGATAGATACGTCAAAGAGAATGCCTCTGGACCGGAAATGTAACCCACGATTTGGTGAAAGCGGTTAGCAACATCAATTTAGTGGTGAAGCGTCAGTTTGAGGATCTATTCCTGCTCCTCYTGATGACTTGGTGATTGTAAGCAGAGTACGACGTGAATATCGAAAGGACAAACAATCCCCAGATATGTCAAATGTGTACTACCACTTAAATCCAAACTGTGTGGCTGCTAAACACGCCTTCTTCCTTCCGACATTAGTTGGAGTACCAGAAGATTTGAGGCCACTTTTGAGCGATAAGCACGTTCAGGCGTTGGAGGGAAGACCTTCCGTCAAACTCGCTCTTTAGTTACCCATTTATGCTCCCTTCTGAGGACAGAGACACAAGCGGCCGTTTTATATTTCTTTTATAAAATTTTTCGAGCGAAAAGAACTATTTTGCCGATAAGCCGTGTCTCTGTCCTCTGATATAAACACGGTCGTCAGCCAATCAGAGCGCGCGTTATACATCAACAATTTTATAATATAAATTAAAGCGTGCGCAGCTCGTTCTTTTCTTCTCTCGTACAAGAATTTGGGCCGCTTATGTCTAAAACGGTTAAAAACTAAACAACTGTCACGCCTTTTCTTTTGAAAAGAAAGAAACGGACACTGATCTGAGAAAGAAAGTTCAGGGAGTGCAGACATGCTAACTTTTTTTGAACACTTCAATATGGCTATTTCATTCATTGAAGATTTAAGATAGATAGATAGATAGATAGATAGAAAGATAGTTATTTTTAAGTATACAGCCTTTTGCAAAAATTATGAGAATTGTCGAAATATCTAAATATCATAATATCAATTGCATGATGGGTAATCCCAAGCGATTCCCGTTTGTCCTTTGTCTTTGTAGTTTAGTTTTTTTCGGCGGTGACGGACTTATCCGTAGTTCTGAACATTTTCTCGATATCAACAATGAATTATTCTAGCAAACCCGCGTGTTCTGGACGATATATGGATATGGATATTATGATATTTAGATATTTCAACAATTCTCATAATTTTTGCAAAAGGCTGTATACATTGATAATAAGTTTTAATGATTTAAAAATTGATTTGTCAAAGTTAATTATTTTTTTATCTTTTGTAACTGGAAATAATGTTTTTTTAAATGAAAATATGTAAAGGGGTCTATATTTCACTTGTTGCTTTTCATAGGCTCCTATTCTTAGTCATTACAAATTATTATTCTATAAATTGCAAAGTATATAAGAATGTAATGATTATGAATGTAATGATTATGAATGAAATAAAATTGATTGATTGATGGATTGGGTCAACAATCTCTAAAAACACATCTCCTCAACGCCAATCAACGGTATCTCGGCAGCTCAATTAATGCAAACAATAACTTCAACTAATAGCCAAATAGTAGCCGGTTTTCAATTCTCTATCCAATCAAACCGTTAACCATTGTTATAACAGTATCATGAGATGTATACATGTAGTTGGATTCTCCAGTTGTTTGTTGACCATTACAGTAATGCATTATTAGTGAGATACATATTAATGAGATACGCAGAGATACAAAGATACAAAGATACAAAGTTGCAAAGATATCAGATTTCAAAGATGTCAATGTATACAAAGTTACAAAGATGTCAATGTCGTTCATTCATTATTTGCTTTAGTTTGCTAACACCGAATTGCTCCACTGAATTCACGTTGAAATCACGAATATTCTTCGACAAATTTCAAATAAACAAAGATTATATATTATATATTCAAGAACATTTAAGTTGTGTTTGTGATTCATTTCAGGCCGAAGTCGACGCAAATAAACAATTGATTTCTGCCATATATTCAGTACCGGAAATGATTATACTCAAAGGAACTTAAACGATCGATCGAATTTCCCTTCAGATACAAGCCCCCATAGTCATATTTTTCCTACCTCGATGTAGTGTGTCGATCTACTTCGCCTCCGGCTCGTGATTTTCAAAATGCTCTCGTGTCTCTCCCAACATCACGCGTGCTCTATTTCAGAGTCGTATAAACTTCCTTCTATTGCTTAAATAAACTCGCGATGAAACATTGTGATATTACGTGAATATCTAATCACTTTTGCTTATATTTACGTTCGGGACACATGGGCGCACGGAGATACGGATCTTCGAGTGTTGAGAAGTTTAGATCCGTATATATCTCCAAGCAACCATGTGCTATTGCTTGTAATAGAGCGGTTTTCGTACGAGTGGGTAACTGGCCGTAACATTTAGTGCAAAGTTACGGTACTGTAACTGCAGAATTTTCGAATGTTTTACGGTACGGTTACTTACGGCTACGGCATAGTACGGTTAAGTTTAATCCCCACTCATACAAAAACCGCTCTGTAATCATCCATGTAAACAAATGGTTATCTGTATCAAACTTTTATTCACTCGTGATTATTTATTATATTTATTGTAAAATTGACATCATCCATCTTTCTATAATAAAATCAAATGTGTAATTAACAATAGAAAGCGACCCAACGTCTTATAACAGGAACAACTAGACGCTCTGGGAGCGTGAAGTCGGACTAGCTGCTTGTGAAAATTGAGAAAGGATATTACATGGATAAAAATATTTCTTAACTTTTTTTCCAAAACAGCCGAACTCACGGTCTAATAAGAGCGTCTAGTTCAAAATATGCAAAATTTATTGAGACTTTAAATAAACTTGACCTAAAAGGTCATGTAATTAAAGCGGCGATAAGAACGTGGCTTGCTTTGACAATGATATCTAAAACGTTGACCTCTCAGGCAAAGAAAATAAAAACTTTACAAGGAAAAAGATGCCTATAAAATCATTAAATTCGCCTTTCTGTTATTGATAAACAAAGTTTCTTCTTGTTCTAATTTGAAATCTTTGCCCCCACAAGACTGTCTAACACTAGAAAGGATATTGATTCAGTTTTGTAAGCATACAACGCGAAACTCTATGCGATCTGCACATGCGCGTACTTCTAATGCCTAGACAGATGCACTCCGATGAGATCACAGATACCACATTTKTAAACGAATAGTTTTTTTGTCAT